AAATATGACTCATGGTTATTGCTAGGTTTTTCGGCCAGCTTTATCTCATTTTCATCAATATAACCAATACATAATGGTAACTCACTGAACGTATAAGCAATAAGTTGCCTTCGCTCAGTCGCACTAGGCCATCGAATGTATGCCGGTAATTTCTTCAAAATTGCTGAAAATACTCTCTGGGTAATTTTAGTCAGAATGCCACCATCTCCCACTCCAAAAGTTGTCGCGATTTTTTGCACTGACTCACTTTCTCCTGAAGAGCCTAAACGGCGATAGTACTATCGCGAGTTGTAAATCCACGGGCAGTTGCATATTGGATCCTGGACCTGTGAATATTATGTCATTTGCAAATATTTCAACAAGACGAGCAAATTGGCTCTTATTGACACGTAACATTTGCAAAAATCGTTCTTCGTTGAAACAACCTAAAATATAATCTCGCCAATGAATGGATTTCGGCACACTTAGTTCATCGCCTCGTCGAAAAGATGTGATTGTTCTTACATCCTCCAGTAGTTCATCCATTCTTTCATCAATGAGAGCGTGCCATTGGTCGAAGTGTGCTGTGTCTATAAATGGAAAAACTTTGATTTTTGCAACTATTAAGCTTTAAAACACATACCTTCGATAAATTCAAGATATTTAATAGCTGCATTTATTTTCAAGTCTATAATTCGATTTTTTATACCCTTTTTAGGCATTTAGTGTACAATTGATTTTGAAATTTAAATTAAAGATTCTTTGTACTGACGACAAAAACAAAGAACAGCTGATTGTATAAAAATAACCAGATAACATACGTAAGAGTCTGTTCACGGTGCACACAGGTTATTTTTCATTTTATCACCACATAACCCGATAACTAGTGCCCCGTGAACACCCTAATTATATTTATTATTATTAAAAATAATTATTATTTGTGCCTGAAAAAATACCAGTACCTTGTATTTTTTTAGACACAACTAACTCTTAAACTCTAGTTTTTATTTTAAAACGCTCAACTAACTGTTGTTTTTACCCTAAAGATAAATCCAGAATAAAATCCGGAATAACTATTATTTGAAAACAAAATATAATTTACATTTTCTGCCTGTTATTTTTAAAAATGGAAATGTAGTGGTTTTTGTAATTTCATACAAAATGTGTATAAGAGTGCTTATGAATATTAGATTTTACCTATTGATCCCTATTGTATATGTATATTTATTTTTACGGACATGTAATGCAAAAATTGTATTTAACTGGTGGTTAACTGGACATGTAACGCTAACTTTGACAAAAAACAATAAAAAGTTTTGGCAACGCGAGTGAAAGAGGAGTTAGAAAAAGACGCAACTTCTTAGCAACTAATAGTAGTTTTCTAATGTTTAAGCTTTTAATAAAATATTCTTATTTTTATATTAATAATTTCAATATCCTGGCTTGTGTATTTATAAATTGAAATAAAATAACTAATTAAGTTGAAATACGATACAAATTAGTGACACCTACGTACGGGAATTTAAAATTACACATAAATTTACATTACGATTGGCAATATGGCAACTGTATGACAATATGACAAGAAGTCAAACGTAACTCAAGCAGCTTCAGGCAACACTACACTCAACGACAGTAATCATATAGTAAATTGAGTGGCCGTCAAAGTTTCGTCATGCTTCAATATAGTCCCCTTTTAGCTCGATACGCTGAATCCAAAGATCCTTTAACATTTCGATACCATTTAAATAACAAAATTTATCAAGTCCTTCAAAATATACCTCAGTTTCCTATTCCACTTCACCATTTGATGCAAATCTCTTTTCCTGAAGTTATTTTTTCAAGTTTGGAAACAGGTAATAGTCACTGAGAACCAAATCTGGTGAAAAGGATGAGTGGGGAAGCAATTCATTTAATATTACTATGGTCTGCATTGACATCTGAACAGGTACGTAATCATGCAAAACTATTTTTTTTTGACAAATTTGGTCGTTTTTTCATAACTTCCTCATTTAATCGATCCAATTATATGCAATGGTAGTCTGATGTTATTGTTTTCCCTTTTTTAAATTTTTTTAGAAACTGAACTTTTATAAATTTTAAACTTTTTTTTGAAATTATTATTAGTCCTTCCATATAAACAATCTTGTGTAACTTTTCTTAAAAGTTCAATCAATTATCTTCAAAACGCAATAAATTTCAAGTCTCTATCATTTATGTAGCCTGAGATATGGCCGTTTAAAAATATGTCTACAATGCTAATTGTCAACACCCCATGGGGCTATATCTCCTAAGAAAAAAATTTCAAATTGTTTTCCGAGATCGTTTTGTTTGTTTTATGAAAGCAGGTTAAAAAAAATTTCAGCCAAATCGAAATTGATGAGGTCGTCTTTTGCCAAAATCCATTCGAATTGTAAAAGAATGACCCATGTGCAACATATATAGTACCTTTATACAACATGTAATGTTCATACAATATTTAAATTACATGAAATGGCTAATATTCAAAGATTAGATTTATCGACTATCATTTATAATCCAACTGTATCACATTCTATTAAGAAACTGACTCTTAACTAAGTTTCGAATTGTCTTAGGTTCGGCTTCTTAACATATATACTAGAACGCCTTTTACAATCTTAAACATTCTTTTTATTTACCTAATTATTAAACGTTATGCAGTATATTACTTAATTATATATATTACGGGCCAATCATATGCACATGCTTTGCTGCAAAATGATTACGGAAAACACAATATATATGCATGTGTTCTAAATACGGAAATGTAAATAGCTAAGCGCATGCAATACACAATAAATTGACAAGGCGAGTTGAATTTCTTAATTCGTAAAGCATCTAAAAGTTTTTGTTTTTTTTTAATTTAAATTTAATATGTATTTTGTCAAATAAAGTTGTGACATTTCACAATTTTATTGATAAATAAGATTTAAGACCTGATAATTAACAATTTAAATAGTTATCCCTGTGGACAGCTATTCTTTTTTTATTTTTTAAATTAAGCTTTTATTTTAACATCTGACGTTCCTTTTCAGTTTCGTAAAAATTTTTGAAGGGACATTAAATAAGCAAGAGTATTGGGATGAATTTGTTTTCTTTCATGGTACTAACTAGAATGAATTCTTTTTTACTTTATCTCTTACCGGAATCATCGTAAGGTCCTATTGGATTTGAATGTTGGTTCCATACCATTGAACGTTTACCATTTATCGTAGAGTTTTAGACTGGAATCTTTGGAGAATTTCGATGTTAGTTTTTGAGGCTGTTCTCCATAATTGAGTGCCATAGGTCCATACTGGTTTTAGCACACTTTTGTATAAAATAAGTTTATTTATTAGGGATGCTAAAGATTTTTTATTCAGTAGCCAAAAACATTTTTCGGTATTGAATCCGAAACGATTTGCTTTTATTAAAAATATGTATTTTCCATGTCAAAATTCTATCCGAAGTCCAAAGTCTATAGCTGAGCCATCTGCAAGTATACCAGTTAGAATACCAGTTGGGCCGAGTATACTGCCTTGTGGTACTCGAGCTTTAATATTTTATAAGGAAAAAAATTTCATTCTCGTTGTTGACATAAAAGAGTCTTTTCCATAGATACGATTTAATGAACGTATAATAGTTTAGTGGTAGAAGCTTTTTACATTTGAAAAGAAGTCCTTGGTACCATACACAACTTCAAATGTTTGAGATATGTTCAAAAACGCCGCTGAGCAGTATTCTTTCGTTCAAAAGTGGTCTGTGTTTTTTCAACAATTCTATGAATATGCTCAATCATTGAATGTTTTCTTCTGAACCCAAACTAGTGATTTGAAATTAATCATTTAGACTCAATTATCTCTATAAGATGAAGCACTTTTGGGAGAATGGGAAGAAGACTTACTGAACAATAAAATTTATCATCTTCAGCTGGTTTAACTGGTTTCAGTATCATCTTTATTTCGGCAACTTTCAATTGAGCTAAGATACAGTTTTTTGCCAAGGATGCGTTCAAAAGTTGGGTAATAAATATTAAAGCAACACCTGGAAGTTTTTTAAGAATTGCAGTAGTTAGGTAACCAGGCGCTTTTTGATTTTTAAGAAATTTAATAAATGAAATTATTTCTCGTTTTTAAAATTTCTTAATTGTGCTTTTTATTGGTAAGTTTGTTTTCAGAAATTTGCAACATAGACATCTACATATAGCTAGATCGCTATCCACAATATATAGAGTAAAAACGTTCTTTAGATGGCTTACGAAAAGTTAAGCTTTTTCAGACAATTTTTTCGCCCAAGTATTGTTTGGTTTCATAAGTGGAGGTCGATAATCTATTCTTTGATTTACATAAAGAATAATTAGATAAATAAAACGAGTTGAGGCTATGTAAGAACTGTTGCGTATCTAGTTTCGTCAGTCGTGTTAGAATAATATTTTGATCTTTAGTAATTTTGTTAAGTTTCCGCTTCTCTACGATTCCATATTTTTTTCTACCCTGTTGTTTATCTCTTAGTTTTTTGTAATATATGCAGAAAAAGTTACTAGATTTTTTATATAATATTTTGGTGGAGGAGTAGCTTCTCACGCTGCTTCTTGTATAGATCTAGTTAGGTATTCAGTCGCTTCGTTTATTTCTTCTTCGCTTCCTAGTGACATTTTGACATTTAAAGCGATGACTATATTGTTTTAAATAAAGGCAATTTTGTCCGTTAATTGTATAACTTCTTGGTCTTTGGAAAACTGGTACACAAAACGAATTGAATACAATTTTACCTACAACCGTATCATACACACACGATATTATTTTACTTTATTATCATATTGATAATAGCTTACAATGTTATTAATAATTAGATATTAATATGGACACTATGCTGGATTTTATTGCCTCGCTTTAGCAACTAAACGTGCACACACTTATTGCTTGCTTCTTACGTACTGTCTTATTCTTTCTATGTCCAGTTCGTTGTCATTTTCTGTAAACTTTGGATGCCTTGTAAAGTCCTAGGAACTTTGGTTTCAGTTATAGACCACGACCAGATTGTGTTCTTTTGATCGCTACAATATCACCAATTGCATACACTACTTCGAGTTTTGTTTTCTTATCAACACATTTTTTATTTTCCGTTTGTAAACGTGTAATATTTTTCCGCGCTGCATTTCGTATATTTACTCGTTCATTCTTAAACATAGAAATTTCTTTATTTGCAAGTAGTTCTTTTAAGTTAAAATAGTGTTTTGTTTTCATATATACACTAGTTACCAACTTGAATGGTGTATTATGCGTACTTTTAGCAACTGTATTATTTAAAGTCAGCATTACGTGATCAACATGTTTGTATCATATTTTCGGGTTTTGATGACATAATTTTGTTAACTTGGCCATTACCTCGTGGTACGCCGGTTGCGATTTGTAAGTGCTGTATGTTTTCTGCGATGCAAAACTCTTCAAATAATTTAGCCGTAAACGCCGTTATACTTTTAAAGATTATTCATCGTTCTGGATTACCAAATAATTCTGCTTGCTTGCGTAACTTATCAATAACCTTGTTTGCTCCCGTGCTTTTCGTGGGATACTGCCAAACAAACTTTAAGAAGGCGTCAACGATTACAACAATATAATTACACATCTTTTGCGTTGCTTCTGTCGGGCCTACATGAGCAATGTGATATATACCTAGTGGTTAATCAGATTTATGAATAGAGTTGAGAAAACTTTATTTTTTGTCTTGTTTTGCGTCACTTACTATGCATACGATACAGTTGTGGACTATCATATTTACTTTTACTGCAAGATTTGGAAAAAATCGATTTTTCCAGTAGACTTTGCGCCTTTTTGGCCGCAAAATGTTCTTGACGATGTGCCTTCAATATTATTTCATTTTCCATACATGCTAGTATCACAATTAATTCTTTTCAGTGATCCATAAACAAAATATCGTGGTTTATATAATAGTCTTCATAGCTTGTCATTTCAAGAACTTTCATAATGGCTCTTAAATGTGCATCTTCTAGCTGTGCCTTTTTAATTAGATATCCTAAAGCGTCTTTCATTATCATGCATACTGTTCTGCTGTAATGAACCTTTTCTTGGGTTCGTTTAGAGCTGAGATAAACTCAGCCTCGTTCAAGTTCCTCACAAGAAAGTTGTTTATTGAGACCCTGTCACTTCTGTTTTATTCAACCGCCTGAACCGAAGACTAGCTGAATCGTAGAGAAACCGAGCTGAAGATACACGGAATCGCAAATAAACTACTCGCTGTACAGCCGACACGATATAACGCAGACACACGTCACTATTAAAGCTACGTCTGTTGTATTATGGGTCGCAAACTGCATGCCCTTCCCTGTTCACTGTTAAAGCGTGCAGGGGTCGGAGACGTTAGGTTACTGTTGAAATCCACCTAATGTTTCCGACGCTATGGTATAGACACATGTGACTGTTAAAGATTCAGTAACTATTAAAGCCCTGAATCTTGCTTACCTAAACCACTCAACTGTACCGCTCTAAATATCTTGATTTGATTTGCACCACTCTTCAGCTCACCGTCTGGCTCCAGCAATTTCCTATTGATTGAAGCTCATTATCCATTGATTATTTATTGAAGCGAAAATCCCGCTTTAGGGCAAATTCTATTTCTTATTCATGTGGAAGCTGGACGTAGTTCTTGACTAAACTTTACTTCAGTTCCACATTTTTGTACAAAAGCTCTTTTTCTTCGACGTTTCTTCTATTGTTATGGTTTGTTTGTTTATGTATTAAAACGTGTTGTGTTGGTTGAAAAGTTTTAGTGCAAAAAATTTTATTTAGATAAATAATTATAAACCAATTAAATAATACATAACGATAGTCCAAGGTTTGTACAGCATTCTTCCATTAACTCGTGTATATGTCAGCCAATCATATTTTCCACTTCTTTTCCGGGAAATTTCCGATGTCAAAGTTTTGTTGCTTAAGTACTTAACAATATTTATTACAGGAGCCTTCGATTTAATATATTCAAGTAAGTGTTGTGCTTATCATCAGTTAACTTTGTTAGGAGATTTGTCGTGTTTGTACCGTATCTGACGTGATTAGGAAATTTGTGGATTAATACAGTATCTGTTTCCGCGGCGTTATAACAATTAAATTTTTATTGTAGAAATTTTAATCGTTACACTGCTGAGAGCACCTACATGTCTCTTTTTAGTTTCAGAACTGTGCTCTAATTCATATTCAAATTCCTGAAGAAACACGGCGCCCATCGCGATAATCGTAGTGGCACGTCGTGCTTCTTCATCATCATAGAAAATGCGTTGCAGTCGGTCACTATTTTAGATTTTGTGCCCAAAACGTAGATTCTACACTTTGTGAGTACTTCTATAATGACTAGGACTTCTAGTTCATACGAAAGGTATTCTTTTTGATAAACTTGCGTTTTGCGACTCATTAACTGAACAAGTTGAAGTTGATTGTCATTCTTGTCTCTATGTAATAGAACAGCACCGTACCCGTACATTGAAGCGTTGGTATGAATTTCTGTATAAGCACTTATATGAAACAGTTTTAAAACAGAAGCAGTTATTAAAGCATTTTTCAACTGCTGGAAAGTTAAAAATTCATTTTCAAAAAATTTGAATTCAGCATCTTTAGCGCGTAAATCTAATAAAGGTATTTCTATTAAAGCATAGTTTTCCACAAATTTTCTGAAGTAAGAAGTCACTCCAAGAAATCGTTGAAGCTATTTTTTATTCACCGGCACTAAAAAATTTTTTTACGGCGTTTGTTTTTCTGTTGACATCATAAGCGTTTAATTTTCGATTATATATCCCAAGAATGTGACCTTTCTTTGAATAAATTGGCATTTTTTCCAATTTATTTGAATATCATTTTCGGCTACCAGTCTCAAAACAGTTGTTAATTTCTTTAAATTTTCATTTTCGTTACCTTCTTGAATGATCATATAATCCATAGAAATAATTATTGTACCATTAGCATTCAGTTTTTAACACAAATGTATCGACAAAAGATGGCGGGAGAGTTTGATGAACCGAACGGAGCATATAGAAGCTCGTATTGTCCATGTGTGTCCATGTGTGTAAGGAATGCAGTATACTTCTGCGATTCCTCTGATACCGGCCCATGAAAAAAACCTCTTTTCAAATCCAGTGTAGCAAAAATGTTGGCTTCTTGCAACTTTTGCAAAACGTCATCGATTTGCTTCATAGGAAAATTATCTCTGACGATTTTTTCATAGAGCTTTCGAAAATCACAGCATAAACAATAGAAGATGCATACGTTGATTTGCTTGTTTGTATGACTCCTTGCTCCAACCAACTTTGAGTTAGTTATTCTACTACATCATGATCTGCAATTGAAATACGTCTTGGTATTTGGAAAACTGCTACTTCATCCTTTAGTATTTATTTTATTTCAATAGGGTTTTTAGTCGATTTCTCAGGCTTATGCTATAACTTTAAATAATTTTTACTATCTGCTTCTTAACATATATTCATTCTTTATGCCGTGTCCAATTTGGACATAAATGTTAAGCTTATATCAATTTTTAGTATAAATAAATATCAATTAAAATAATTATTTGCATTGTATTTGTATTAATATTTGTATTATTTGTATTATTGTATTCAGTATATGTATAAATAAGTATTTTAAATTAGTGTCTTATGTTGTTTTGGTTGTTGGGTTTAGTTGTGTTATCAAATATTTTAGCAATGTTGCTGGCTCTCACAACTAAATATTCGCACGCTGTCAGCGTGCCAGACGTAACATGATGATCTTCACACGCCACTGTGCAAGGTTGATTGGCATCATGTTCGTTTTCTTTTATCGTGTGTTCGTTGTGAGTTGCAGCAATAGGCAAGCCGCTGCGACAATTCTGTTGTTCCCATAGGTGCAATATGAGTTGGCGCATGGCACAAGTGATAACACATTTAAGTCACCAAATTTGTGAGGCAAGTTGGTATATGGCAAAATACATATACCAGCTTGCTGACTGCATCAAATTGTATAAGCATAGGAAATGCACATATTTTCCACGAGTGCCCTTGGCCTTGAATGTTCAAAGTCCATCGGATAACAAATCGTGGGAACTAGGTGCATTTGCTCTTTTACCATAAGCTTAATGTTAAGCATTTTGTATAAAAACACAATATTTTGTAATAAATCATTCATTCAATGCAGAACAGCCCTTGCGTTTTAATTAGTTCAAGTGCTTATTAAAACTCAATTGCAAATAGGTTCAAGTGCCTAGTTGCTCAAAAATATTGTTATTGTTTGAATCCACCTGAAGTTGGTTTAAGTGCCAAATTCAGACCTTGCAATAGGAACTGGTTCAAGTGCCAGATTCCTAACCATAAGCAACACTGAATCGATTCAAGTGTCGATTCAGTTTTCAATAAGAAACGACTTATTGAACATGCCGTTTAAATCGTACTCACAATTATTGTCAAACAATTCCGAAGCTGTTGCAAATATTGTTGTTGTTTTCCGAGTGTATTAATATTTAAAAAAACGTTGTTTTTCTTTTTAAATATTTATTGTTATTGTTAAATTAAACAGCACTTTTAAAAGAAAAGACTGGCTACTTGCTTACTTCTTAGATAAGCTGACGATAATAACAATCAATGTTTATTATTTTTTAGAACATAAATAGTTTGTTTAACCGCTGATTCCTTTCCACTGTATAACAGTAACACTCTCAGAAAAATCGCACAAATTATGTGTAGGCACTAATTTAGTGTAATTCATATATTATTATTTATTTCTATAGTTTCACATTTTTCGCATAATCAATTTTTAATATACATTTATGTTATTTTTGAAGTCACTTAATCAAATTTTCAACATGCATTTATGCTATTTTTTTAAATAATTCACATATTTTTATTTATTTCTATTGTTATAGTTTATTTTATAATTTTATAATATATATATATATAATTTGTAATCTCTTTTATTTTTAACAACTACGGTTTAAATTTAATTAACGCGAGTTACAATAAAAACTACAAACCAACCCGAGAACAGTCAGCGCTACAGCGCCACTGAACCTAACTCTTCTACAGAGCCTAACTACTCTACAGAGCCCAACTACTAAGCACAACTACTCTCTTTTTTTTTTTTTTTGAATTTTATTTTGATTTTTATTGAATCTTCTACAAATCAACTTAGAACTAACAATAAATTATCGCTGCTAATTGCTGTATTAAAATATTTGAAAAAAGAAAAATAGATAATTAATTGTCCTTAGCCAAAGCTTCGCCCAATTTCGTTACCATGTCGGGCGTTATTTTTGAATAGCCGGGTTTATATAGTTTCTTTTGAGTCGCTGAGTACCAGCGCTTTGGGTAAGGTTGCTTGCAAGTGGATTTTGATGATTCCTGAGTTTGATTTTGTATTTTTGTGTGTAACTGATAATTACATCTGTGACTGTGTCAATTCGAAGATCTCCATAAATATATGCGTTTTTTATATACCAGGGGGTATCGACTATTTGCCAGAGGATTTTTGATGGTCAAGCACTTTGGTTTCTTTGGTGGCACTTTGGGTTACTTTGGTTTCTATATGCTTTTTCCACATAAGCCTTCGGTCGAGGTGCATTCCTAAGTATTTTGTGTCCTTGCATTGTGGTATTACTTTTCCATTAATACAAAGGGCAGGGCAGGTATCTCGTCGTAGAGTGAAAGTTATGTGTACAGTTGTTGAGGTGGTCTTGAACTGATTTTGTGGCTGTGAATGGGTCGTCACTATGGCTGAGAATGGCAGTGTCATTCGTAAATGTTGATGTTGTTATACAGTCACTGGGTGGCATGTCTGCTGTGAAAATCAGGTACAGCAAGAGGCCCAGTACATTACCTTGGGGTACACCGGACATAATGGGGAAGGCATTGGAGACAAAAGAATTTTGTTTTATAACAAATCTTCTATTTGAGAGGTAGTTTTTGATAACTGAGGATATATTGTATGGTAAATGTTTCTCAAGTTTCCAAAACAATCCTTCGTGCAAACTTTGTAAAAGGCTTGGGTTATGTCTAGAAAGATGCCTGAACAATACTACCTCTTCTCAAACGTTTCCTTAATTACTCGTACTATGCGGTGTACTTGTTCTATTGTGTTGTGTTTTACTCTAAATCCAAATTGGTGCTTAGGTATTATTATTTTCTTATTTATGTAGGGCATCAGTTGTTTTATAAAAAGTTTTTCGAATAATTTTGAGAGAATTGAAAGTAGATTTATAGGTCGATATGAGGTGACTTGAGCGGGGTCCTTTCCGGGCTTGGGTATCATCATGATTTTGGATAGCTTCCAGTCGTTTAAAAACTATGCAGTCCTTAAAATAGCATTATAAATAAAAAGTAGTTGGTCTTTGGTGATTTATGGGATCCCTTTCAGCATTTTCGCTGTAATTAAGTCGTAGCCTGGGGCTTTTTTGGTATTTAAATTTTTGATTTCGCTTTTTAGTGGTTTTTTACTGAAGCAAATTGTCATATTGTCGTTTCGTGTGGAGTAAAGCAGAGAGTCAAGTTTTGTTGAAGTAGAGATTGGGGTATAACGGGGGTTTTCTTGAGTTTAGTGGCTTTCCAAAGGGAGTAGTGTGTTGTTTGCGTTGGAGACAACTGTGAAATAAAATTTTCGTATTCTATGCGATTTTTTTCTATGAGTAATCTCTGAAGTGCTTTCTTCAGATTCTTGAGTTGTTTTTTAAGTCAGGGGGATCTCTGTTGTTGCCATTGGCGTCGTACTTGTTGTTTCTCCTGTATAAGGGTTGCAATATCGTTCGATGTATGGTAGTTTATAGGTTTGTGGGGTATTGGGAGTGGGGTTGATATTCGAGCGGCTTGTTGAAGTGAAGCTGTGAAGTCCTGGACGGCCTTGTCAATTTCAATATTTGATTTTAGGGAAGTGTCGGTGTTAATATGTGAGCAAATATATTTTAAAAATTTTAGCCAATTTGTATGCTGGTTTGTGAGCTTTTTTTCGGATTTTGATTGACTATTGTTGTGTTTCTAATTAGAATAAAAGGCGGCGTGTGAAGTTCCGTTATTTTATACCTTGGTGGACAATAGATTGAGGTTATAGTCAGACCTTTTATGTACTCTTCTACACATATGCTTGTCGCCTGCATATATTATGCTTCAAGGTTGTGAGTTGGTAAGTGTTTAATGTGGTTTTTTATGAGGACAGCAGATCCGCCTCTTGCTCGTCCACTGGGGTGTTTCGAATCCTAGAGTATGTAACCAGGTATCTTAAAGTAGCTTTTCTCGTTAAAATGAGTTTCTGAAATAAGCATGACGTCAATTTAATGTGATTGTAAAAACAATACACGTTCGTTTTTATGTTGGCTTAAGCCGTTAGCATTCCAAAAGCAAATTTTGATTGCATTCATGGTTCGGATAGGATTGAAAGTAAGATATTTTGATTTTTAATCATTCCCTGTCAGTTGGGTTTGTGCACAAAATTTTTTGATTTATGTGAATAATTTTGGCGCTAAAAAAATAAGTGAGAAAATTTTGAATACAAAAAATCTAAAAAATGGCAAATAAATAAAATCTGTTGAAATGTCTGAAGTATGAAATGTAAGTTTTTATTTACTTTAAAACTTATATTTAATTTTATAGTAAATAAATGAAAATTGCAGATTTTATTAGAATCATCGAGCAAAACTGACTCTTCCATTCCCTTTTTAAATACTAGTTCAAGTGTATTAAGCTCAAGGGATGAAGTGCATCAGCATGAATATAGTGGAAGTTTTGTGGAAACGATCAATAATTTTTCCGTTAAAGATTATTTGATTGGTATTTGCGCATAAAAAATACAATTGCTATATATTAATTATGTTTCATTTTTTAATAGATTTGTTAATAAATTCCAATCAGCGAATGCAAAATAACCGTAATGATCACAATCGGACGAGAGCAATGAAGGAATTTTATATATTTTTGAGGTATATGGCAAATATGAATACTTTTTTCGAATTTGGTGTTTGTTTTGGCATACCAAGAGCTTTTGTATGGAGAATAATTAAAAGAACTAGTGTTTAGCGTATATCAATTGGACACTAACTTATAAAATACGCACTTGCTAATAATGCAAAAGTGGAAACTTCGAAAAAATTCCCGTTCGTAATTGGTTGCATAGACAGTACACATGTAAATATGAATGCACCACACCATAGCAAATAGGCTTATTTCAAAACATGAAAAGATTCATCGCAGTAATAGTTAAAATATTACTTTAAACAAAGAAGTAAATAATAACGATATATTAAATAAATAAGTACATAAAATAAATAATAATAATTTAACTGCACCGTTGCATCGCATTGCCAACCTCATTTGCATTAAAATGCGTTCCACTTTTATCTTTTACATACATTCCACATTGAACCAGAAAGTGAACCAGATCAATTGCTGGTTCACCCCATTGTTTTTGTTTTGCATGTAAAATTGAGCGGATCATGTTTGCGGAAACGCAGCTAATATATTTGATGATTTTACAATTTTATTTTACATTGGCTTTAAGCTCCATAAAAATAACTTAAAGTTATTTGTTCACTTTGTAACTTCAAAGTTGCTTCCGTTAAAGATAGCATAGTGTCTACGATTAAATGTATCTTCTCCCATTCCGAAAATAACGCTTTCATCTAAGTGATCATTAGACTCACATTCAGCTTCAAAATAAGAGAATAAGTATCTTCTATTTCCATTCCTAATGTATTTACAAAAGAAATCATATTCGCACCATTATTAGTAGTAATTGAAGAAATTAGTTGAAAAATTAGTATCAATAGCAGTCACTATTGGGTCCATTATTCGTTTGAATCCTAAATACTACAACAATTAAAAACGAACACCCTTTAATAGTTATAAGTATTAGTCAATTTAAAGTATACGAGTATTTCAAAAAAATAAATAAATGAAAAATCAACAACTGAACAAACAGATGCACAGATACCAAATTATGTAGTGCTGTGCCAAAATAAACCGATATATTTTTTTCTGTTCGGTTCCGGTTTTCATTCCAGCAAAAATATCGTTTTTCTCTGGTTTTCGGTTCGGGTTTCGGCTGAAATTTATTATTAGATGTATTATTAACCAAAACTATACAAATTGTGTTGTAATGTGTTTGAACCATATTGGGATTGCTTATAAAACGAAAAACTTTCAATTTATTAAAAGAACAAAAATATTCAAATTTGCACTGATATCAGTATTATTAATAAACATTTTTATATACATTGTTGAATTTGCTCTGATTGAAGTATTTGTAAAACATTTTCATCAAAAATGATTTAAATTGAATGTTACTGATCAGAAATTTTTGATCTTTTGGCAAATTAGCAAATAAAATTGACTTTGGAATCCCTGTTTCTTGGTGTTGTACATTATAACAAGTTAAATATGCTAAATAAGCGCTATTATCAACAAACAATTCAATAATCAAGACTTATTGTACCTTGTTTCAATAAAATTAGGATATAAAAATACTCAGTCGAACTAATTATGCTGTGATCAATTGTTCAAAGAACTCATACTCTTACCTTTATTAAGGTGATGCTGGTTAATAGCCGGATTTGTGTCTCTGAAACATTATATGTAAGTTTTGATTTCAAAATGAATAAACTTATAATAATATTAGCTTAAAAATAAAGTACTTACTCAAATTCTTGAGATAAACATAAATTTTTGAATATGCACTGACTCTCGTTGTTCGTTAAAAATGGGCGTTTAAGTGTGTCTTCGTTTTGATTCAGAGCGTTGTGGTTTGATTTAACTGCGTTACGGCTTTTACATCGTGGTGTATCTTGTTGAATGTTATTAGTTAGGGATAAACCATCCGCTAAACTTATATTAGACTTGACTTCAGATATATGGTCAACGGTACTTAGATGTTTGATTGTTTGATAGCTTTGCGTAGAACAACCTAAAATGGATCCATTTGTTTGAAATTTTTGACTCTGCACATTACCTTGCTTGAAGGACTGTGTTCCTTTACGACGAATTGATGACCACACGTTTCCAAACAATTTATGATGCCTCTTAAAGTAGATATATACAAATAATTACGATTTTTTCTTTAAACTTTTGAAATGCTTTTATAAAAAAATACTTAAAAATATTCCAAAACATAATTTGATTTTTTTTACCAGGTTTTATTTCATATACGAACTTCTATTTCGTATATTATTTTATTAAATAATATTATTTTATTAACATTATATTATTTTATTAATATTATATTATTTTATTAATATTACGTTATTTTATTAAAGTTCTATTTTTAAAGTACGTGGTTTTCAAAAGTTTGCTTAAAATAAAATTAGTGCTTAACGTTACGTTTTTGTTATGAATCTTCTAAGGTATTTTTAATATACAGGATTAGGCGATTGAAGTGTTGCCGACTACACACAGGTATGCACATTTGTCAAACCGATATTGCCAACTACGTGAAATTACGAATGAACGCGAATGACTGTTGTTTAAACGCTTTACAAGCTAGCACAAATATTTGCGTCTAATTTTTATACAACAGATTTTATACGAAATGTATTTCACACGTAGTAATGTGATTGCGTTATATTTGACTGAGGAATTACTGCTAGGTATTGTTCGAACACTGCAACACCTCAAAGTGAATAAAAAGTTCGTATATCGTACCATAAATCGTTATAATAGTACAGGCAGTGTCGCCAAACGCTATGATGGCTTTTGAATTCGCCAGATGCAAATCCGATGGACTATTCCATCTGAGCCATTTTGGAGAGTAAGCGGAGGACTAAAAAATATGCCAGTATACATGCGTTAACGAAAGCCATCGTTCAGGATTGGGCAAAATACCGGCAGATCACATTCGTGAAGAATGTAACCCATTTTTTAACTGTTTGAAAATTATAGTCAAGGCAAAACGTAACCACATCGAGCTACAGTTAATGGATTCTAAAATGTTAATTATTTCCAAAAATTTTTGTAATTTAATTAATGAAAATTAATTTCACATAAAAAAGGAATGGTGGCTAATAGGCAAACTTCAACAACCCTGTATATTTATGTATATACATTTTAAATATTTTGTTCTTTTTTTTTTTGACCAAAAATATTATATAATAATTTATGAGCGGGGTAATTGATCATTTAAATAAAAATAAGAAACTTATTTATATTTAAGACAAATTATTTTATTAAGATATTTTCCAATACTTCGATTGTCTTCGATAGTCATCTTCAGGGAATTAGTTTCCTGAACTGCGCATTTTTAGTTTGGTATATATAGACCACTCTTTTTAGTCATATTATTTGTTTATTCAATATTTAGACGTTTCACCGAAAGCGCGCGCGAAAAGTGTTCACTCCGTAACTTTTGTCTTTTTTTGATTAGAAATAGTTAAATTTAAATTTCAAAGTTATGATCATTTGAACGATAGACCATAAATAAAAGGAATCTGTGAAAAAACAGTGCTTGTGGACGGTGTTAATCAGTCTTTTGTAAATATAATAAATTTTTGTTAAACAAATTAAATTTTAAATTTGCAAAAAATAACAAAACCAAAACAAAATTGAGTTTTGCTCAAAACAGCTGATAGAGACAACATATGATCGCAAGTAAGAAATTATAATTGTGATGTTGTCACAGTGTAAATTTCAAACATTATATACAAAAACGTAAATAAATTTTATTCACTTTTCTCTTATTAAAATAAAATAAACTTAAGTGTTGTACGTCGGCAATCTTTAATAAGTGAAAATTTCCTAAATGGCTATAATACACTGAACACAGATGATACTAATATAATAAATCATTCCCCAAACAAACTTTTAGAAAATTTAAAAATTGAAACAAGTATAACACAAATAGCTAGTGAAATTGCCATCGCTAATAAAATTAAATTAATTAATAACAAAAACGAAAATTTAGAACATAGTTCCCCAAACCAACACGCAACAATACAAATCAATACACGCAAAGAAACTAACATGAACACTCTACAGGCACCTAGCAATGCGACTTCGGGTCAACTAAAAGGTAAAACAGCTAAATCAGTTCAGGTGAAAAATATACAACAACAAATTCTACAATTTCAACAACAGCTTCAAAAATTGTATAATGATGAAAAAAATAACCTCCTCCAAGACAAAGGTTCGAATGAAGCTTTAGCCACCAGAAACGCTACCTCTGTTAACGACACTTGGAGAGTAGTTAGTAATCGTGAATGTCAACGCGATAGTCCAAGTAAAAATCATCAAGCAAGTCAGATCTTCAGGTAGATGACTCTAAAAAAACTGAAGAATTGTTAAAAAATAATGATACGGTTCCAAAAATACTGAAACCTCCATCTATATTTATTGATAAGGTACATTGCATCAAGCCTCTAAAAGATGTATTAAACGAACATGCGGCTAATCACTACAACTTAAAAGTGTTAAATCCAAGTCAAGTAAGAGTTCAACATTCTACATCTGACTCATACATAAGCATTGTAAAAAAGTTGGAACCCAAAAACACTGAATTTTTCACTTACAAACCAAAAACCCAGAGAAGCTTTAGGGTTATATTGAAAAATTTGCATCATTCAACCGATATTGATGAAATCAAAAATGCACTGTTGGAGCAAGAACATACGGCTGTAAACGTTACATTAAACGGAACATTAAGCGTAGAGGGTCAGGAGAACTCCTTCCCATGTTTATTATTGAACTTGCACCAAACCTAAACAATAAGGATAAATATTTGGTTAAGAAACTCTTATTTACTACAGTTACATTCGAACCACCTCACCCGAAACGTGAAATTCCTCAATGTGCAAACTGCCAGCAGTATGGGCACACGAAAGGATACTGTCACCGCAAACCCAAATGCATCAAGTGCGCTGGAAACCATGCATCTGTAAATTGCGAAAGGTAAAGTAGATCAAATAAGGTCAAATGTGTTTTATGTGAGGGAAATCATCCGGCCAACTACAAAGGATGTCAAATATACAAAAATCTGCAAAACAAATGTATCCCCAATTAAGGTCTAGGGCGCCGGAAGTGCAAATTCAAGAAAATCCTCCTCCTTCTCTAAACAAAAATCACATCACGAACTCTCATTCATCTCAAACATTCGCACAAATAGTGAAGTCAGACACCAGTAGCGCAACAGAGGAGAAGCTATCACCAATTCCAAATAATTATGTGGAAGAATTCCGTAAGATGACATCGCTATTGAAGCAACTGATGCAACAAATCGTAGTAACTACAAATTTACTGATCAACTTGACGACTAAACAAAATTCTTGATTTAATAGTAGTCATATGGAATGGTCTATCTAATGGTCTATGAAAACATGCTGACGAAATAAATTCTTAAAAATAGACCATGTCGACATAATGATGGTATCAGAAACCTATTTTACGACGCGTAGTTTCTTTAAAATTCCGAACTATGAACTTTATCACACAATGCATCCCAGTGGTAAAGGAAATGGAGGCTCTGCGGTCCTCATAAGGAAATCAATAAAACATTATGAAATAAAACCATATTGCACAAATGAAATTCAGGCAACAAACATTGTAGTACAAACTAAAGAAGGAGACATGACTTTCTCATCACTCTACAGCCCACCGCGCCACAGTATCTCGAAGGATATGTACATATCATTTTTTCAGCTGTTTGGATCTAGATTCCTAGTAGACGGAGATTTTAATGCTAAACACTTAAAATGGGGTTCCCGCCTAATATCTCCAAAAGGACGACAACTTTTCGAAGCAATAAATGTACTCAATCTACACACAATCTAAACAGGTGAACCCACATACTGGCCAACGGATAGAAGAAAAATACCTGACTTAATTGATTTTATGGTATCAAAGGGAGTACGTATCGAGACTACTACCCTTAAGTCCAATTTCGACTTGTCATCAGACCACTCGCCAATAATAATCGCTCTCAATGACTGCTGTGAAATTATGGAATGCATTCTTCATAACAAAAATACCGACTGGAACAGTTATCGTCAACTAATTACAATTGGTCTAAATACCGAAGTTAGGTTGAAAACTGAATCTGATGTAACTGAAGCAGTAGAGCATTTCAACTTTTGTGTCCAAATGTCTGAATGGAAATCAACTCCACCGTTTCCTAAAAGTGTTAAGCAAGATTATCCATTTAACATTAGATACCTGATCTGATCAAACAAAAGCGTAGGATGAGAAAACATTGGCAAAAGACGAGATTCTCTGCGGATAAAACTCGCTTAAACAAATTATGTAAACTTAACCTTTATAAGTCCTACTTATAAAGTATAACAATAATCGCACGTCCCTACTTCATGTGATACAAATTACTCCCTTTGGAAAGCCATAAGAAAGAATAACAGACCGATTGCTTATCAACCACCTTTATGCAAAATCGACAACACATGGGCAAAAAGCGATATTGAAAAAGCAGAAACGTTCGCGTATTATTGGAACTTTCAATTAAAAGATATACTACTAATGAAGTTAGGGATATAATAACAAAGTTAAAAGTAAAAAAAGCTCCAGGATACGATTTAATCACAGGCATGGCCTTGCAGCAGCTTCCACCAAAAGGATTTGTATTTCTGACTTATCTATTTAACGCTGTGATAATAAGGGGACTTATTCCGCCACAGTGGAAGATAGCGCAAGTCTCCATGATACCGAAACCAGGGAAAAGCCCAGAATACGTCAAATCATATCACCCAATAAGTCTACTTCCAATCCTGTCGAAAGTTATGGAAATCCTGTTTCTAAAGTGCCTTACACCAATTATTCAACAAAACAGACTCCTCCCTGAGTCATCCCTGGATAGTAAGCTAACCTGGAAATCACACATATTCAAAAAGCGTAACATATTCAAAAGCCGAAACTGTCACCAAACTCTCACTTGACAATAAGCTGCTTATATACAAATCTGTACTAAAACCTATATGGAGTTATGGGGCCCAATTATGAGGTACCGCAGCAGACTCAAACCTGGCAATTATCCAGCGTTTCTAATCTAAAACATTGCGAATGATCAATCACAAATTCACCTTGGTAT